TTCCCATACTGCCTCAGAGCGTCTACCTTGGCAGGGAGCTGGAATCAAAAGCTGGAGCTAGGATTTAAACCTAGGAACTCCGATGTAGGATGTGGTTGCCTTAACCATCTTCAACACTCAGCTGAACATCTGTCTCGGTGCAATTTAGGAATTATTTGCCTCAAATTACAAAATAGGTATTAAACAAAATTTACGATTGCCTTCATTCTTTTGTAATTTTCCCAATAGCAATATTTTTTATTTATATGTGCTAAGTTTCTATAATGTGAATGAGTTTTGCAAAAGTGAGCAAAAATGAAATAATTATATATAAAGTGTTATGTTCTTGAATTATTGACGAGTTGTTGGAAGCCAAAGACTCAATCTGTGAGCTATTTGCCACAATAAATTACATCTTGTTCTCCCGTGGGTTCAAGTTGCATAAAAAGGCAACAGTTTTATTAAAAAATGTACTTTATAAAATGTGAATATCTGTAGCTTGTATTGAATGTCCTCAGGTTTGGTGAAAATGCTGCCATAATAAGGAATCTTTTATTTAGTGCCTTGTTTTTTGCATGAAACATATGGGTTTGTGTATGATTAGATTATTCCTACTTTCCCTTCCATTTCCCTCTAATATTTGACAAGTTTTAATTTCAACTCCTTAGTAAAACCATTCAAACCTGACTTTAGATCAAGCCGGTGCTTTCTTCATCCAAATACCGGATCCCTCAGGGCCTGCTTCATGCACATCAATATATAGTTTGCTAGAATAGTGCATTATAGTTTCATTTGTATTAACACTTTAATTTCAAACATGGGTGGAAATTGCTTTATATAGTCTGCCATTCCCTGTCACCCTGATACAAACAAGCTAAGAAATTGAGGAAGTTTACATAGATTTTGGAAAGAACAAGATAAAAATAGTTGGGTAAGTTATGGCTTAAGGACATATGAGAATCCTTCAATTTCCTATGTATTTAAATTCCTATTGTTACAAAAAAAAATCTCAGTTGGTGGCTTAGTACTATTTGCTCTACTTCCGTAGAGGAACATCCATAAGACATCATTACATTAAGCCTTGTTCATCTAATTGCAACTTTTCCTGATACCAACATCTCTTTTACATTCCAATTTCTGCAGACCAGTGTCTCACTCATACTTTGTCCTTCTCTCTCACTGGCTATTGGAAATTCTTCCTTTGTAGTTCAGAGTTTTACAATCTAGTATGTGCGACAGACAAACTTTATGGGACTACTAATTCCATGAAAATGCATGATAGTTTTTCAGACATCATTATGTATTGTGCTTTCTTATGCTTTTTCATGATCTATTTATTTTACTTGAAAAATCAAAGTGTGTGTGTGTGTGTGAGAGAGAGAGAGAGAGAGAGAGAAACAGAGAGAGACAGAGACAGGGAGATAGTCTTTCATCCACTGACTCGCTCACCAAATTCTCACAACGGCCAGAGCTGGACTGATGAAGTTGTGAGCCAGGAATATCTTCCATATCGGTCCAGTGACCCAAGGTTTTGGGCCATCCTCTACTGCTCTTCCAGGCCATTAGTAGGGACCAGGATTGGAAGTGGAACAACTGGTATACAAACTGGCAACCATATGGGATGCTGTCACCACAGTGAGAGGATTAACTCAAAACACAACCACATCAGCCCCATCTTTCTTATACTTTTTAACATCAATCCATCAATGTTTTACTCATTACCTCAGTTAATAATATCTAATTTACATTCTACAGGATGGTTCTTTTACTTTTATTATTATTATTATTAATAACATTGTATTATGTGATACAGTTTTATAGGTACTGTGATTCCCCCCACCCCTCCCCTAACCCTCCTCTCATGGTGGATTCCTCCACCTTGTTGCATAACCACAGTTCAAGTTCAGTTGAGATTCCTTCATTGCAAGCATATACCAAGCATAGAGTCCAGCATCTTATTGTCCAGATAAGTTCAACGGCTTCTTGGGGAGACCTTCTCTGGTCTGAAGGTAGAGCCAACAGTGTAAAATCCCAATCGATTAAAAGCCCCAACATAACATCAGCAGCAATATACAATGTTATGGATATTTTTTCTCTAGAACATCACCTCACACAATATTAGAGGCAGAAACTAGCAGGTAGTTTTTGTGAGGTGGTTTTGGAAATCAAGTAAAAAGTAGACCTGATTTCAAATGTGTCTGCTAAGTTTTGTGCATTGAGTAAGGATCCAAAGAAGCTCATTCAGAAGCTGCAATGCTCAGACAAAGATTTGCACAATATTTTGCCATTATCTACCAATGTATTGGCATCGGTATTTTTGTCAAACCCTGTTTTTGGCAAATCCTTGAAGTCATGAATTATATGGAAATGTATAAGGTACTTAATTAACATCACCTTGTCTGCCCACACAGTAGGAGCGAGGTTAGGCTGAGCCAGGTTACAAGGAGGCATTTTGGACGATAGTATATGTCATGACACTCCTTTTTCACAATGATACTTAAAAAGCACTTTTATATTTCCTAACATTTTCCTAACAATCTACAGCTAATGTAACTAATAATTAGGAATATTCTTAGGAACAACATGAAGTATGTCCCTCATAGCAAACATATGAGATTTACTTTATTTCTTGTATTTTCTCAACATCACTTAAGAAATTTTTCAGGCCAGTGTTGTGGTACAGTGCATTAAGCCACCACCTATGAAGCCAACATTCCATATTGGAGTGCCAGTTTAAGTCCTAGTTGCTCCACTTCTAACCAAGCTCCCTGCTAATACATCTGGGAAAACAGTGGAGGATGGGCCATGAGGGAAACCCAAATACAGGTTCTGCCTCTTGAATTAGGCCTTGCCCAGACCTGGCCATGGGAAGTGAATTATTGGATAGAAGATCTCTCTGCATCAGTTTCTCTGGCCCCTGCCTTTCAATACCTAACTATTTTTTTTTTCTTTTAATTCTTAATGAGTATGGGATGAATGCAGAGGAATCAAAATTTTAGTCAACATTTTGGCACCAAGGAAATAAATAAACTTATTTCATGTCTAGTATCCATAGGCAGAATGAAACCCATGCATATGAATGTGTTAATTTGAGGAAGCATGAAGGTTAACTATTCCAAAAATGAAATGGGAAGTCATTTATATCAATAAACAAGAAACTGCAATAGTCACATCTATGAAGTACTACATCCTTTCTTTCTCCTATTGCTTAAATGGCCCTACCAAATTTCTGCTCCTGAGGCCATTTCAAACCTACGATGTGCAACTGTGTTGTCACTGACATCCGGGATTTATTATTTCACTACTAATTATTCTGATATTATGAAATTATTTAACTAGTTTTTCCCATTATTAGCTGAAAATCAGGGGAAAGAAAGTGCTTCCTGAAAATGTCATTTTCAAAAAATTTTTAATGAACTTGAAAATGTATTATAAATTATAAGAGTTCGTGGTTGAGTTAGACATGTTGAGAAGCATCACATAATACCTTATGAGGTAGGTTACTATTCAATAAACCTGAAGCCCACATCTATGGACCTGATTTTGCTAAGATATCCTTGGCCCCATTTGTCATCAAAGTTAATTGGACTGCTCTTTCTTGTGGTGCTGTAGCTCTTTTACTTTTTAGCTGTTACTTGTTAAGGAGAAAGATGTTTACTGGTACATTTTCTTTCCTCAAATAAAATGAATATCTCTGTTCTTTTCACTACTTAAATTGACACAACTCTTTTTGCACATTCAAAAGTAATTTTTGATGTTTTTTAGAAGATTTATTTTGTTTTAAGGCAGAGTCAGAATGAGAGAGAAAGAAATGTTTTTCATTTTCCATATGGCTGTATCAGGTGGTACTAGGGGTTAGGCCAGACTAAAATCAGGAGCCAAAAACTTTGTATGGGTCTCCAATGTGGGTACAGAGTCCAAGGATTGGGACATCTTCTATTGCTTTTTTTGGGTCGATTTGTAGGGTGCTGCATTGGAAGTGAAGCAGCCAGGATCCAAATCATGCCCCTATGGAAGGCCTTTGCAGCTGGCATCATAAACTGTTAACCCACAATTCTGGACCCTTGACTGTCATTAAGTACCTTTTAAAGGGGCCTGTTTTTTTTTTTTAAAGAGATGAAAGTATAATTGTCAGAAAAGCCTGCTAGAAATTGTTCATATCAGGCCGAGTGCGATAACCCAGTGACAAAAATGCTTGCCTTGCATATGGGATCCTGTTCGTGTCTCAGCTGCTCCACATTCCATCCAGTTCCCTGCTTGGGCAGCCTAAGCCTTGGGACCCGAAACCTGCACAAGAGTCCCAGAAGAAGCTGCTGGCTCTTGGCTTCAGATCGACTCAGCTTCAGATCCAGCCTACTGAACCAGGGGATGGAAGATCTTTCTCTCCGTATCTCCTTTTCTCTATCTGCCTTTCTGATAAAAATAAGTAAATCTTAGAAAGGAAATTATTCATATTTTAGGGTAAGTCTACAAATAAAATCTCTAAATTTTGCATAATCTCCATGGGCATCTGGATTTTGTACAATTGGTTTCAATGGAGCTGGCATGCTAATTATTTGGAGGAAAGTTTCAATTTCCAGGGTAAGCTAGAAACCTCACTTCCTCTGCTTGCCTTCTTTTCCCTGAGAATGAGTAGAGTAAGGGACGATACTTGGTCACATTTGGAGGTGGCATCTCAATCTTGATTCCTTGTTTTTTGTTTCTTCCTGGATAAAGAATTTAAACAGAAGCTTTCTTTTTTTTTCCACAAATGGAACTAATGTACTAAAACTGAGAATATGAGAATAAGACTTGCTTGCTGTGTTTCTCAGAGACTTTGGAATGTCCAAAAAAAAAAAAAAAAAGAGTTTGAAGCAAAGCTACCATCAGTTAGCTCTTTACCAGTTCTGTGAGAGAGTGGATTTTCAGTGGGTGAAACCCCTTTTAGCACTGTTGTCTCTTCTACTTTGGAACCACGCTAAGAGCTTCCTAGATGGTTGCAGGCAGGATTTAGAAGAGTTTGCAAGCTTAGAGACAGCCAGGGACTACATATGTAATGCCAAACTCCTAGTCATCCCACTAGAGGTAAATGTAATATGTCTGTGGTCTTTTTCACTCAGATTCTTCTGTGGCATAAACTCAATTATCTTAGCCTGTCAGATTTTGATGGGAGACTTTCCACGCTGTCTGTATTCTGAGTATCATTACTTATGTCTATGCTATACCCAGTGTCAAGTTTGTATCTGCCTTATTTTGAATGTCTTTTCACAGATAGCGCTTAAGTTCTAGTAATATTTTGTGGGTTTTTTTTTTTATGTCCAATACCACACTTCAATTTGTCTCTTCTGTTTAGACCAACTTCAATTTTGCCATATCTGTGTGGGATTTAATTGTCTGTTCTCTTTGGAACTAGCTTAGCATAAGGGCATTTTCTCCAAATCAAGATTACCTGTTATAGCTGCTTTGTTTTACATTCTTTTTTAAAGATATATTTTATTTTTTATTGGAAAGTCAGATATACAGAGGAGAGGCAGAGAGGAAGAGCTTCCGCCCATTGAATCACTCTCCAAACAGCCAGGACCCAGAAGTCCTTTCTGGATCTCCCATGTGGGTGCAGGGTCCCAAGGCTTTGGGCTGTCCTTGACTAGTTTCCCAGGACACATGCAGGGAGCTAGACAGGAAGCGGGGCTGCCGGGATTAGAACTGATGCCCATATGGGATCCTGATGCATTCAAGACAAGGTAAGGACTTTAGTCACTAGGCTACCATGCTGGGCCTTTTACATTCAATTTTTAAAACTATTTATTTTATATGTTTGAAAAGTAGCATTAGAAAGAAAGATTTTCCTTCTGCTGGTTTACTCTTCGAGTGGCTGCAATGGGTAGAAATAGGCCTGACTGGTATTCGGAGCCTGGATCTTCAACTGGAGTTTCCTTGTGGTTAACAGAAAACCATATCCTTACCATATGCTGCTGCTTTCCCATGTGCATTAGCAGAGAGCTGGGCTGGAAGGGGATCATCCGGGACTCAAGCTGGACTCCATAGGGGATGCCAGGGTCATAGGCAACAGCATAACCGACCATGCCAAAGTCCTACAATGCAGGCCTCTGTTAGCATTTGTTCTATCAATTATTTTCATTTAATAATCATGGTTTTTTAATGTTGATTTAAGTGTCAGAGCAACAGAGAGAGAGAGAGAGAGAGAGAGAGAGAAGATGAAGAAGAGGGAAAAATTCAATGTACTGATCCACTGCCCCAAACTGCAGAAAAGTCTAGGCTAGTCCAAAACCAGGATCCAGAACTCCACTCTGATCTCTCACTTGAGTAGCAGGGATGCATGCCCATGGGCAATCCCACACTGGCTTTGCATCTGCATTAGCAAGGACTGGCCTAGAAACAAATAGGCTATGCTTTCAAAATTATTAGCAGTACACATTACTTTCACAACTGAGGATAAAGTGAGCAGGGGCTAATGAGATGTTCTCAATTCATGAAGAGCACCTTTGTTTGCGCTAGAAGTTATCTGGCTTCTTCCTGGAGTCGATAAGGACATTCCAAATAATTTTTTTAAATGGAAGAGTTATGAGTGGATTCCTAAAACATGTGGGCTACGGTGCAGAGAATAAATTGAAAGGGTACAAAATTGTAGGAACACTGTGCTGCTGGATCGGATATGTTGAGTGGTGGATCATGACAGTAACACCTGAGAGTGGAGTCCCATTTGCTAAATTCCCAGGAACACACATTCTGAGTGAGGCTTTCTGTCATGGTGCATAGATTATGTAAAATGGAAGCATTAACATGTTCATCTTACCTTGTTCTGACACATCGTGCTGGCATTGAGGTATTTGGTTCCAGTGGATCAGAATTTCAACTTGCATAAAAAGGTTTTGTTGAGTGAGATTATTACGTAGAATAAGATTGTAGGCTGTTTACAGAAACTAAAGGAGAATATTAGGAAATGGTGTTTCTGTATTTTACAGCTGTAGTTTCTTACTCTTTTTTTAAAGAAAACTTCTGGGTAATATCAATTGACGGGAGTAGAATAAATTAATAACAGTGCATATAGTGTTGCTCCTATCAACAAGTTTTTGGAAATTTGTTACCCTAAGCTCTCATTCTCCAGATGTTACCCAGATTCTCAGTTTCGGGCCTGCCCAGTGATTTAGTGCTTGTTTTATTTAGCATAGCAGGACCATAAAAACACACCACTCTGCCCCTGTGAGTCTTTCAGTGAGACCAAGGCATTTATAGTAAAACTGCTCCTTGGGCCAAAAGTCCTCTCCTGAGTATTCTTTGGCCATTTGCAAATTTCTTTAAGTGACTTCATTACATATATACCCAGAAAACAGAGATTCCAGATGTGTGGCTAAAGTCAGAAGTTTGGATGCATGTTAATACAATTTATTATCTTCCTATTAACTCTGTGACCTGATAGCAACACATGTTAAGCACCTACTATGTGCCAGGCACTGGTGTCACAGTATTAGACAAAATAGTCTCTTTCAATAGTCTCTTGGGATGGGGAAGACAAGGAACAAAGCTACAGACCAAGGATAAGGTAGTACAAATCCGTATATATTTATTTTGGACTTTATGGAATAGAGTCTCTGTCATAACTACTTCACTCTACTCGTTGAGGTACAATTGGTAATGAGTTAACATAGCTATATTCCAACAACACATTATTTAAAGATACAAGATGAGGGTAACATTTGTCCTGTTTGCCATAATCTGTTGATCACTAACACTAAACAGTAAGTATGTAAACTCATCTAATTTACTAAAAAGAAATAAAACAGAAAAGGATTATGAGGAAATGAGATGATAGATGTGATATTTTTGAATAGAAAAATTGGGGGTAGATGTCATTATTCAGTTAGACCAATATCTAAGAGTAAGTTGTCAATATTATGCATCCATCTTTCTAGAAGTATATAATGACATGAAAGTTAAATTCTATATTACGTATTTACAAAATAAAAGATTTACAAAACTTCTGAAACTGATAGATTCAGTAATTACTATACTGTTTGACATGCCAGGTGATAGCCTTCATAAAATCCATCCTTCATTAAGTGATATTTTTCTCTGCATGTTCATGTCTTTTATTAAATGGTGATACTCAGCACTGAATACATGTAGCATTGGCTAGTAAGTCTTTGGTGTATGCTGCCCTAAAGAGTATGGACAATATTTTTTTACTAAGTTATATCCTAGCTATCTAATTGGGTATGCATCTGAGTTAGCATTCCATAAAAGTCTGATTGCAGTTTCATGACGATCATAGAGGTTAATAGAGAATGCAGTCATAATTCCAAGAAGAAATGGCTCAGATTGACGATTTCTTTTCACAATGGGCAAATCCATGATATGTCAGCTGTCTGGGAAACATTAGCTGAAGAGTAGGATGTACTGGCATCTGAATTTCAAATGTTGTCTCTAGTAAGATCTGCAAGTTGAGTTGATTATGTGGAGTTGTCTGCATTGCCTAAATCAGACAACAAATCTGAGTGTACAAGTTTATCAATAATACTCTGACATTTAGCTCATGTGGTTAAAGCATGTGGAGTAGGAGTTGTGTTTAAGGATGTTTAATCAGATTTGTTGCTTAAGACCTCACATGTACAGTTTAAAAGAGGCTCACAAGTAAACAACATAAATAAAATAAAACAAATGGAAAGTTGCCATGAGATAGAGTTGGCTTAAGACTTCAGGTCAATTATTTTACCTGGCAAAAAATTTCAAAGCATTTGTAATGATCCAGGCACTCTTCTAGGCATTCATGGATTTAGACAGGTTGGATCAATGTATACTGGGTTTTTCTGAAAAGTTTTGATAGAGAAGGTGAAAATTACTCTCTACTAGGGACTATATACAGATTGAGTAGGGGGACAATTCTGGAGACTAGGGTAAGCATAAGAGAAAGTTCAGGAAGCGTTAGTTCAGCAGTTTGGAGACTACCTAGAGACTGAGGCAGGGCATACTAGGAGAAAGAAACCTGAAGACAGTCTTGAGTACAAAAGTAAACAACAAAAACGTTGCTTTAGCCTTAATTCATTAGAAAGTAATTGGAGGTATTAAGCAGTATTATGATAAAACAGACACTTAGAACACTAATTTGGTAGAGCTTTATTTAGAGAATTATAGGTTGGAGCAGAAAGAAATTAGGAGAGTGCTGTTGTTGGGAGCTACCAGAACTGTTCACAATGTCAGTATTAGCTGAAATATGAGCAGAAGGAATGGAAAAAATGAGCCACAATGTTAATATTTTTCAGGATAGGGTTGATTGAGTTATAATGGAATAGAGAAAAGAGGCGACAGAGAAAGTCATATTTTTAATTTACCCCTTTTCCCAGGAGCAATTTAGTTCACAAGAGTACTTATATCTAAGAAGCATTCCTGACTTCTAATATTTTAGTGTCAATGTGCTGCATACCTTGCCCAAATTAGTTAAAAACTCTGCAACTCTTCTGCAATACAAATGAGATATCCCACAGCTTATTATCAATAGGTAATAAGGAAAGCATCCCACTCCATTTAATAATTGTGCTTTTTAATGAATTCTTTCCACTGAAGCAGATGCAAAATCTGAGTTCTGGCGAATGCATGGAGGAAGCTCAGTTAAGGGTTTCAGGATTTGTTTGGCTTAGAGCTTTTATGGATGACCTCTCCAAAGAGGTGGCATGGGAAGTGAGACCTGAGTGATAAGGATTGAGATTTGATGCGGACTGGAAGAGCAGTGTGTTGTTTGTATCAGTTGTGGAGCAGTGTAGTATTTTTAGCTTATATTTTAGCAATTCTGAATAATGAGACCAGTTCAGGCAGACATGTTTATAATGCTAGTCGTTGTCCGGGTGTGAAATCTGTAACAGGTTTAAAAACAATACGTGCCCTCTAGTGTCTTTCTGGCTTAATTAAGCCCATGTACAAGTCTCCCCAGGCTTTTACTCATTATCTCTAAGGTGTTAAAAGTATGTGTATGTACATTATTTTTATAAAACTAGCTAATCTTTTTTTTAATGTCAGAAACAAAGGAAAATATTCTGAGAG